ATTATTATTATCATCATCATCATCATCATCATCATCATCATCATCATCATCATCATCATCAATGTTGTTGTTGTTGTTGTTGTTATTGTTACCACCAATAATAATAATAGTAATAATAATAATGATGATGATGATGATGATGATAATAATAATGGTAGAATATATAGCTCATTAACAGAATATATATAGAGAATATATAGCTCATTGCTAGTATACAGTTATTTCAGTCTTGTGACACATTTTTTCATTTAACAGGAGTGTGTGAAGTACCATCAAGTTGCTTCCGACTTATGGCAACGTTATGAATGACTTCCAAAATAGTTAGCAGCCTTGCTGAGGTCTTGCAAACTGAGGCTTCCTTTATTGAGTTAATCCATTTCACACTGGGTCTTCCTTCAACTTTTCCTAGCCTTATTGTCTTTTCCAGTGACTCTTGTTTTCTCATAATGTGACAAAAGTATAATAGCCTCAGTTGGGTCATTTTAGCTTCTAGGGAATGTTCAGGCTTGATCTCATCTAGGACCCACTTAGTCTTTTTTGTGGACGATGGTATCCATAAAACTGTCCTCCAACACCACATTTCAAATTAATTAACTTTCTTCCTGTCAACTTTCTTTACTGTCCAGCTTTCACACCCATATGTAGTAGTGGGGAATACTATAGTATGAATTATTGTGATCTTGGTCACCAACAACACATCCTTACACTTAAGAATCTTTTCTAGTTCCTTCATGGCTGCCCTTTCAAGTCTCAGTTTCCTTCTGATTTTTTTTGTTTGCAGCCTCCCTTTGGGTTGATGATAGAGCCAACAAATAGAAAAATCTTGAACAATTTCAGTTTCTTCATCTTTCGCTTTAAAGGTTGTATAATTCCCCAGTAATCATTATTTTTATCTTATTATTATTTTGCTGTAATTCTGTTTTGGTACTTTCTGCTTTAATCTCCATCAGTAGTCTTTTTGGATTACCGCTGTTTTCTGCCAATAATGTGGTATCATCTGCATATCTCAAATTGTTAATGTTCCTTTCACCAATTTGTAATATGATCTCTAGTTCCTGTTCCTTTTCTGAATCCTATTTGAACATCTGGCATTTCTCGTTCCATATATGGTAACAGTCTTCGTTATAAGATTTTGAGCATCACTTTATTCACATGAGAAATTAATGCAATGATCCAGTAATTGATGCAATCTTTGATGTCTCCTTTGTAAATTGAGCATTTCCAGTCTGTCGACCATTGTTTTGTTTACCATATTGGTTGGCATATTCTAGTTAAGATTTTTATCTTCTCAGTTTCTCTGGCTTGGAATAACTATTGGTACTCTACTCCTGGTGATTCCTTTCTCCCAAGGAACAGCTTTTGCTACCTGGCATCAGTATTTATTGATACCTGTATACTTTGGACTATTACGGATTTTTAATGTAAATTTTGAACTTATTTAGTTCTGCCTGATTTAGTTTGCTAGTATACAGTTATTTCAGTCTTGTGACACATTTTTTCATTTAACAGGAGTGTGTGAAGTACCATCAAGTTGCTTCCGACTTATGGCAACGTTATGAATGACTTCCAAAATAGTTAGCAGCCTTGCTGAGGTCTTGCAAACTGAGGCTTCCTTTATTGAGTTAATCCATTTCACACTGGGTCTTCCTTCAACTTTTCCTAGCCTTATTGTCTTTTCCAATGACTTTTGTTTTCTCATAATGTGACAAAAGTACAATAGCCTCAGTTGGGTCATTTTAGCTTCTAGGGAATGTTCAGGCTTGATCTCATCTAGGACCCACTTAGTCTTTTTTGTGGACGATGGTATCCATAAAACTGTCCTCCAACACCACATTTCAAATTAATTAACTTTCTTCTTGTCAACTTTCTTTACTGTCCAGGTTTCACACCCATACGTAGTAATGGGGAATACTATAGTATGAATTATTGTGATCTTGGTCACCAACAACACATCCTTACACTTAAGAATCTTTTCTAGTTCCTTCATGGCTGCCCTTTCAAGTCTCAGTTTCCTTCTGATTTTTTTTGTTTGCAGCCTCCCTTTGGGTTGATGATAGAGCCAACAAATAGAAAAATCTTGAACAATTTCAGTTTCTTCATCTTTCGCTTTAAAGGTTGTGTAATTCCCCAGTAGTCATTATTTTTATCTTATTATTATTTAGCTGTAATCCTGTTTTGGTACTTTCTGCTTTAATCTTCATCAGTAGTCTTTTTGGATTACCTCTGTTTTCTGCCGATAATGTGGTATCATCTGCATATCTCAAATTGTTAATGTTCCTTTCACCAATTTGTAATATGATCTCTAGTTCCTGTTCCTTTTCTGAATCCTGTTTGAACATCTGGCATTTCTCGTTCCATATATGGTAACAGTCTTCGTTATAAGATTTTGAGCATCACTTTATTCACATGAGAAATTAATGCAATGATCCAGTAATTGATGCAATCTTTGATGTCTCCTTTGTAAATTGAGCATTTCCAGTCTGTCGACCATTGTTTTGTTTACCATATTGGTTGGCATATTCTAGTTAAGATTTTTATCTTCTCAGTTTCTCTGGCTTGGAATAACTATTGGTACTCTACTCCTGGTGATTCCTTTCTCCCAATTGTTTTGAGTGCAGCTTTCACTTCACTTCCTAAAATTGCAGGTTCTTCTTCAAAAGATTCTTCTTGGAAGGAATCTGTCATCCTTTCATCTCTTCTGTATAGTTCTTCAGTGTGTTGATCCCATCTTTATTTAGTCCTGTTCAGTTAATATATTTCCATGCTGTTCAGCGTGCCCAAATGTGCTTTAAATTTCCCTTTGTTTTCTTGGATCTTGTGGAACAGGTCTCTTGTTCTTCCTTTTTTGATGTTTATTTATTTATTTGATTTATACCCCACCCTCCCCACCAAAGGGAGGCTCAGGGCAGCTGTTGATGTTCTCTTCTATTTCTTTACACTGGTTATTATACTAGTTCTCTTTGTCTCTCCATGCAAGTTGCTGGAATGCTGTATTTAGACTTCTGGTTCTATTTCTGTCACCTTTTACTTTTGCATTTTGAATTTTTTAGCAATGTTAAGAGTTTCATTAAAGCTTTTCATCTCTTTTGGCTACAGGAATTGTCTGGGCACATTCTTCCTTGATAATATCTCTGATTTCGACCCATAGTTCTATCTGGTCACATTTGCTTGAATTTAGTAATGCAAATCTGTTCTTACATGGTCTGTAAACCCTTCAGGAATGTTGTTTAGTGTATTTTGGCACTATGAATATTTTGGTCTTTTTCTTCATCTTTATTCTAGTTTTGATATTAACAATTCATGGTCTGTACCACAATCAGGTCCTTGTCTTGTTTTAGCAGACAGAATAGAGCTTCTCCATCTTTTGCTTCAGATTATGTAATCTTTTTGATTTCTATATTGGCCATCCAGTGATGTCCACGTATACAACCATATGTTTGGTTGCCTGAAACATGTGTTTGCAACGAACAACTTATTGTCTTCACAGAGTTCTATGAGTCACTCTCCTGCATTATAAGCACATCTTATTTAGATGTGTGATCAGTTTCTTCCTCGTAGAAATTGATCCATATTTCTAAAATATGTTCTCTGGTTACTTGTTTCAGTATGCAATAGGCAATATTCTATATGTATTTGAAAGGAAATACTATGATTCTTATGATGGAAAGTATTTCTTCGGTCCTCAAAATTGTTATATTTATGTTTACTGCAGGGGTTGCTCAGAACTTTGTCGAATCCCCATGGTGGAATACAAACTTGATAGTGAAGGCACCCCATGTGAGTATAAAACCCCTTTCAGGAGAAATACTACTTGGCATCGGGTGCCAGCTCCTGCTGGGCAGCCCCTCTCTCGTGCCTCTCCAATCCTAGGGACATCTGATAGATTGCAGTGCCAGCAGCTTCTCCAGCAGGCGCAAACAGCCATTCCTCGCAGTACTTCATTTGATAGAAAGCTGCCAGATGGTGCAAGGTAATACACTTTGTGTGTTAATTTCTGGCCTTTTCCTACGTGCTTTACTAGTAAACTTTCCTAATCTTTGGTGTCAAGTTATTTTTAAACCCTTAAAAATAGTCTTTCACGCACTGTACAATTTCTGCAGAGCTTTGAGCTTTAGAATGTGTACCAAACTGAGACCAGGGTTTGCCTACACTAATCATTGTTGAAACATCCATTGCCATGGATGATGGAAGGCAGATACTATTAAAACTCATACTTTACCCTGTGTTTGTGATGGAGTACAAAAGCTGTTGAGCTGTTCTGCCATCATCTAGTGACTGACCAATGCAAAACCATAGATGAATAATCAGCATTTAAGAAAAAAAGAAGGCCAATTGTTTGTAGTTGAATAAAGTTATCTTATTACAGGCGCTCACTGCAGTTTACCTCAGCTAATAGGAAATTGTCCATTGAGCTTAATAGTATTGAATTGCAACTGCTTTTGCGAAAGAATTTTATACTTTATTTGCTTGCCCCTAGCACTGGGTCAGTTTGTAATACCACCTAAAGCCAACTGCCATATCTTCTGCCTTTGCCTAGGAGCCAAAACAGCTAATCTTCCATGCCTGCTTGAAAGCAATCTCATGGGGCTTCCCAGTTGTTGTTTTTGAGACTTCAAGAAGCCCTTACAGGGCACATATACATGGCTTGTTTTGAAAGAGGCCTGGGTGAGCAAGAGGGCAAGGAGGATTAGGTGCTTTGGTCTCAGGCAGAGGTGGAAGAAGCAACTGGTGGAGAAGAGTGGAAAAACAGGCTGATGATAGGTGGGCTATATCTGCCCCCAAATCTACTACCCCCTTTGATGACCTTGCTGTAGAGCCACCCTTGCAAATAACAAATGGTTTATATTATCAAGAATTACTGATGACCTTGCTGTAGAGCCACCCTTGCCTGTAGAAATGCAAATAACAAATGGTTTATATTATCAGGAATTTCATATAAGACTAACTTCATTTGAACTTGCTACTCCTATGTACGATTCAAGCTTCTTCTTTAAAATATGCTTCTGCAAATCAGCCACTCGATTCCCTATTTGCAGGGTGGGTATCTTACAGATTTCATTTTTGGTGGCTATTTTTTTCCGTCTCTCCAGTGCAAGAGTACATATCTCTCCTGATATGTTCCTGTTTCTTTGAGACTAATAACCTGCTCAAGATCATATAATTTGCATTAAAGATAGATAAATAGATAGATAGATGGATGGATGGAAGGACAGACAGACAGACAAAGAGATAGTGTTTTTTTACCATAGTAACTGGAATCCTTGTTAGCCTGTGATCATTTCCTTTTGACAAAATCAGTGTTTATGCATTTAGTTCTGTCTTTTTTATCTTTACCAATCAATTTATTAGTGCTGAATGAATTATGGTAATTCAAATTGCCACTATACTTAAAGTCACTTGGGTTATAATGCATGGATTTCTTTATTCAGATGTTTGATTTACTTTCCTATATAAAAGTACTTACCATTTTTGAAAGTTTTTTGAAGTTAATGTTTAAAAATTTGCTTTATAGCAGTTGATTTTGTTTCTTTCATAACTACTACAAGATAGGTGGTGTGTCATGTGTTTTGGTAGTCCTTTTAACTGTTCTGCTTTTGTTGCTGCTGTTCCCTGGCAACCTTCTACTTGGCAGTAGGGTTGTGCAGGGGGGGAAATGGGTATTTTTTGGATTCAGGTATAACGAAGCTGAATTTTTTGGTATTCCTGAATATACCCAAATACCAATCCTGGTAATATATTGATAGCTAGAAATATTCGGGAATACCGAAAAATTCATCTCCATTATATCCTATGGGGCCATTGTAGTTAATGGAAAAATCTTCTAAGGCGTATTCAGTGGGTTAGGGGGTATGGAGTTTGAGGTAAAGGCACCAAATTTGTATTGTAGCTGCTGGAGATCTCCCCAAAAGAACCCCTAAGTTTGGAAAAGTTTGGACGAGGGTCCAATACTAGAGGCATCCAAAGAGAGGGTGCTCCATTCTCCATTGTTTCCAAAGGCAGGCAGATAAAACAACAGCCCAGCAGTTTCTCCCAGAGAATGTTTGCAGTAGAAACTAAGTGAGGTGTGATGTGAGGGGGCATGTTTGCAAGACCAGCAGCAGAACCAGTGCAATTGTAATAATATGATTGTTTTATCTTGTTTTTAATCTGGTTTTATATGTTTAATGTATCTCGGCAAACAGTGCTGCTAAATGTAAGCCGCCCTGAGCCCGTTCGTGGGGAGGGCGGGATAGAAATCCAATAAAATAAATAAATAAATAAATAAAATAATGTGCTCACCAGAACCAGTGCCACTATGGCAGTCCCAAAACCCAACAAGACTAAGATCAAATCTGAGAATCTCTGAAATATAAGGGGCATGTTTGCAAGGCCAGCAGCAGAACCAGGGCAATGTTGCCAACCTACCTATCAACAGAAACCAGTGCCAACCTAACTGAACTCAGTGCTATTGTGGCAAGTGCCACCTCGACAGGAGGACTGATGTCAACTTAAGCACAAAATCATCACAACAATACACAGAAGAATCTCAAAAAAGAACAAACTTCTGTGATTAGCCAAAGAGCAGTGTGCCCACCTTTACCTGTAATTCTATTGGCCAGTGCTCCTCCCCCCTCCTGTCCCTGAGAAAGCAAGCTAGTAGTTGGGCTTCAAGTTTGAAGCTCACAGCAACAACAGCTTTGCAAGCTGCAATGCCATTTGCAAATGCATTGCAGTGATTGGCTGTATGTAAGGTCCCTCTTCCCCCTCCGTTCTGGAAAGCAGAGCAAAGGGTGAGAAAGAGACAGAAACAGTGGAAAATGCATCCCTTTAAAGCTTAACCCCCTGGGAGCCTAATTCAGTTATGCCAAATTAAAGCCGAATAGTTTCAGTTTTTATTCAGCATTCTGTATTCGGCAGCCGAATCAGATCAGAGATTTTGATTCAGCTTGCCAAAAACCTAAAAAATTCAAAAAAGGAATTTTTTCAGGGTTTTTTTGTTTGGCTTTACCGAATGCACACCCCTAGTAGGCAGTACGTAGATGGATAGAACTTTACTTTTGCAATATAATAGGTTGCAGCTTTATATGGTTCTTACATACACTTCTTTATCTTGTAAGAAGCTTTAATCCTAAACTGATCTCTTTTGCTCTATGGGAGAGCACACCTCTCTCCCATGCATGTGCATGTACATACATGCTCAGACTTACACTCACCAGAGTTTATGCCATCTATGATGAGCACCAAGTTTGTTCCCTTAAATGATACTAAAGCATCATGCATATGGGATGATAGCTGTTGAAAAACAAACCCCCCTCCATTTGATATTGTAATCCTTGTGAGGAGGCACCACATGAATTAGCCAAATCATGTGTTAAGCTTCCTCTCTATGGTCACATCATCAGTCTGATCTACATCAAGTGTTTGCCTGTTACAAATACTTTGGCAGCATATGAAAGCATTGTCTTAATAGAAAAAAACAAAATATCTTAATATCTGAAACCAAACTTCATAACATATAGGGAGCTTTGCAGGTTGTTTTCTTCATTTAGGTAGATTTTGTGCAGCATGATTTGAGTAGCCTTGGCATATTTGGGAAGGGAAGGAATTAAAAGTGAAAATTGTGAGAGCAGAAGTAGATCCCTAAAAATACTGGCATCTTGGGACACTAGATTGACATGTCTACAGATATTTGTCCAAATAAAAGTTCATGTATAAAATTATGAAATAATTTCTACTAAATATTGACATAACTTGCTTGTAATTAAATGCATTAAATTCTCATATTCTTTACTGAGTGCTGGATTATGACAACTGAGTGTAAAGTCTATACCATTTAAATAATGGTATAGTTCCAAATAAGATATCCCCAAAGCTTAAATTTTATTCATATTCCTAATTTTTAATTGCATAAATCTTTAATGAACTCCATTTTTACATTTTATTTTGTATGAAAATGCCATCACAGTTGTTAAAATACCACAAATTTCACAATTAATTTTAATAATTCTGGTCAATATTTCAGAAGCTCACCAAGCAACCAGTCATCCTCCAGTGACCCAGGACCAAGTGGGAGTAGTCAGTGGAGGCATCAAGTGGGATATGATGGGTACTTGTTTCTTTACATCTCTGTTTCGTTTGTATACTTCATTGACTTGGTTCCCAGAGTGCATTTCCACGATGGAAAGATTTCTGTCAGCAGAACATGACTTTCTTGATTTCTCTCTACTGCTGGGGGACCCCAGGGGCATTTTGGGCTACAGTGAGAGGGAGGAGGTAAGAAGGGTCGTAGTCTGTTGATGGAAATCTCTCAGCGGGAATGCTCTGTAGGATCTAACTATTGCTTGTATAAAATGTTATTATAGAATGTCAAATTGTTGTTACTGTTGTCTCTATAAAGGAGACCCAAGCTATTTTCAACATATCAGCATAGATTAGAGAGTTACTTCACACAAACTGAATTAGAGGTTTAGGATTATTGAGTCCCTAATCTCTACAGGAATGGTTGACCAGTTAAGAATGGTCTGTGCCCAGAAGCTGATGGAGCCTGACAACCCTCAGGAGTTTCCTGTTGATTTTGCTGCTGCTCCTGTTGCAACCCTGGTCAAGATCTATAATATGGAGAGACCCACAGGGTGTTTACAATCATTTCTAAGCTTCTTTTCTCACTGGCTAGGTTTGCTTACCTGTCGAGTTTACCAGGTAATTTGGGGCAATCAAACAGCTGGGAAGAACTGCTAGACAGCAGGAAGATGTTAGACAAGCCTGGCCAAACATAGGGCCTATTTTAAGCCTATTCCATGGTATCGCCATCTTCTTCATTCTAGACCCCACAGATATCAGCTTGAATTCTCAGCAGCACACCTTCCACATGAAATGGCTCACATTTTTTCTACTTTGAACACAACTTTGGGTATACAGTTACAGGATATTTTCTTAGGCCACTAAGTTGCTTTTGCTTTGGGGCATTCCATGCCAAATCCACAAACATGGGTTGCATCACTGGAGGCATTGTCATATCCCTCTGAAAATGTGTACAAGGTCACTTTTTCCATAAAAAGAGGAGTTTGTTCTTGTTGCCATTCTTGTTGCATTTTGAAGCTCAAAATATCTTTTAACATATAGTCTGATAAACCAAAATTAGCAGAAATACAGCATTCATTGATGTCTTGCTTCTATAGGAAATTTCCATATTTTCAAGAGTTTCTACACCCATTATGTGTGCAAGATCCAGTAATGAGTTCTGTTATGTGGATTTATTTACTAGTGATTAGTTCACCAGGCAAATTTCATTGTGACATTTCCATATACACAATTGCTCGAGTCCTGCAGACCACTTCTGCTGATGGAAAGGATTTCTGTCAACAGAGTATATTTTCCTTGCCCTCCCCATCCTCTTGAAGCCTCAGAAGACTCCCTCAAATGCTGCTCTTGTGGGACAGGAGGCTCATAAGAACAGCATGAGTGGGGAGTTGGAGGTGTTTAGCAGGAGGAGGCAAAAATCAGCACCCCTTATATTAGCAGAAAATTTTTGTGGGACTCAACATGATATTTTGGATGGCCAAAGTTCTGAAAAATGGAAAACTATCCTACTCTTGACCCATGTCTGTGCAAAGTACTATAATGTTCAACATTCAGTTGTTAGTTATTTCAGGTTGTTTAGCAACTCCCCCAAAATCATCTTGGTAATCCAATCCATTGGCTTGGCTGACACCTAGAATTTCTGTGGGCACAAGGGAGTTATTTTTGGTCCTATATTTTAAATATACATCAATATTAGGTGTGCACTAGCTCTAGACCTAGTATATCATTGCTAATTATTGGGAATATATAACATAAAGACATCTGAATGTGTAGTACACTTTTGAATTAAATAATGTGAATTAGTAACGTGATGTTGAACAAGTCACAGATTTACAAAAACAATCTGTAGAAACTTTTCAATGCACATAGTAACACTGCAAAATTTCGACAAAATCCATGACTATGATGCAGCTTTTGTGTGCCAAGTATTGATTTGTCATAGAATGACTACTGGTTGAGTTCCAGTTATTGCCGCTGACAGTGTACTTGAAGGGATGCAGCCTTCTGCTTGAAATTTATGAAACTAACTGGGTGACCTCAGGCCAATCTCTCTCTGTCTCCATCTATCTTAGAGGACATATTTGCAAATAAAATGGAGAGTCCTTGGAGGAGGGACAGCAGCGCAGCACAGTTTCCAACATTTGTGTATAAAATTGGTCTAGAAAACCAGTGACAATCTCACTTGCATCTTGGTTGTAAAACTGAAACCACCATGACTGTTGATACTTTTAGATCCAGTTTTGTTCTTGGATGTCCTGGTGATGTGGCTCAAAGTACATTTTACCACTTTTGGATGGTATACTAACTGTCCGAATATCTTGAAACAATGTGATTTTGCCATAGCTATTTATGGTTTAGTACATCCGTATTTGACCACTGCAGTGGTCAGCAGTCTATGAATATTCATCAGAAACTGCAATAGACTTAAAACATGGAGGCATGATTGGTGACCAGTGCTCACTGTATGGGTCACATTTTGCCAGTTTTGAAAATCTTCTCTGGTTTCCAATTTGTTTCTTAGTTCAATTCAGACTACCAGTTTGACTCATAAAGGTAGGAAGGAATAACTTCTCCTGTATGAGGCTGCCTAGTGTCTAATATTGCTTTCTGAAAAACTGTTCTAGATGTCCCTTCAGCGGTTTACCAGGTCTCAGCTAGAGATTGAAATTTTTCCTCCCGCCCATCCTTTCCCAAGGATGTTCACTAGGCTTTCTTTTAATTACAAAAATAAAACCATTTTATTGACCAAGGCTTCTAACTATACATAGTTATTTGACTGTTGCTTTTTACTTCTGAGATTAGGTTGTGTGTAGGGATGGGCACAAACTGAACCACAAAGCAAAATTGTGGTTCACAGACCAAAGTTCAGGATGGGTCTACCATCCTGAACTTCCACAAACTTTTAAAGCCATTTGTAGTGGTTCTTGTAGCCATTTGTAGTGGCTGAAAGCTTACTGTTCCCTGTAAAAGCTGCAAAAACAGCTGAGCGATAGAGAGCAGCTTGCTCCCCATGGCTCAGCTGTTTTTTGGGCTTTATGCAAACCCTGTTTAAAGGGACTGTGGTCCCTTTCAATGGAGTCTGCAGGGCCACAAGCCACGAACCAGTTTGATTCGTGAACTAACCTCCTGATTCAGTTTGTGGTTTGGCCATGAACCATTTTTTTTCCAGTTCGTGCCCATTCCTGGTTGTGTGATGTGCCCAAGCATTCTACTTGATTTTACACTTAACATGATCTAAATTCAGGTGGGTAGCCATGTTGGTCTGAAGCAGCAGAACGAAAGTTTCAGTCCAGTGGCACTTTTAAGACCAACAAAGTTTTATTCTGAGTATAAATTTTCATGTGCATGCATGCTTCTTCAGATACACTGAAACAGAAGTCACCAACCTTTACATATAGGTAGCATGGGAGGAAGATGCTCCCAGAAAGGGCCAATTGGCGTCAAGATGTATAAGTAATTGTGCAGTAAATATAGCTAAGACTGGATGGAGGCTGTAAATTGGTGATGATGCATTGAACTGTTTTTAGTACCAGAGCTTGCAGTAAACCCAAATGCCAACTTTGCTGCCATGAAAGCTTGCACCAGATGCCAACTTTGTGTGCACACAAAATCTTATACCCAGAATAAAACTTTGTTGGTCTTAAAGGTGCCTCTGGACTAAAACTTTCTCAACCTATTTTTGGTGCAGGTTAGCTGTACTTCAAAAGTTGTCATCTTATGTATCTCTGTAGGTCACTGCCCTTGGTAAAGCACCCCTAAGAGAATGTTCATAACACCTACCACTAAAGATGTAAAATTTCTGGAAATTTTGAAGCTCAGGAAAAAACCCATTTTTTTCCGGGTTTTTTGGGGGGGAAATGGAAATTTTCGGAAAAATTGAAAAAATGCTACATTAGCATTTCTTTTGTCTTTTCTAGATTGAAAGTCATTCTGTTACTTTAGGAATATAAAATATGACTATGGACATTTTTACTTGGCATGAAATTATCACAACTAGCATATTAAAAATATAGTGTATCCAAACAATTATTACAAACAGAATACCCACCCACATGCAAAAACAAAACTGAAACTTTTTTATTTTTTTCTGACAATCACACCTCCTAAAGGAAGAAACACATCTTGTTCTTGCATTGGAGAGTTCAGTTTGTAACCTAGGACTTGCTTGTCCTCAGTGCACAGAAATTAGATCAATCTGATACCATATATATATATTTTAGAAATTATTTGGAAAATATTTGAACGCCTTGTCTTAAAATATTTTATTTATCATGTTAAAACCAATCTTTCCATAATCATTTTTTTTTCTTTTCTTTTTTCAATTTTTCCAATTTTTCGGAAAAAAATAAAAAGGCTTCAGGAAAAAAAACGGGGGGGAAACGGGTTTTTTCCGAATTTTTCCATTTTTTTTCCGGGTCTTCACATCTCTACTTACCACATAGGCGTGCAGGTTGAGGGGGTGGATGCAAGGACCAAGAAGGACCAGTTTTGGGAGGGACCATGGCTCAGTGACAGAGCATCTAATTGCATGCAGAAGGTCCTGGCTTCAGTCCCTGGCATCTCCAGGTAAAAGGATCGAGTAGGAGGTAATGTGAAATATCTTTACTAACAGACCCTATAAAGTGGCTGCCAGTCAGCCTAGACAATACTGAACTTGATAGGCCAATAATCTGACTCAGTGTAAAGTAGTTTTATACATTTGTATGTATTTTGCAAATAGATAATAACTGAGCAATTAATTTGCATCCTGCAGCTAAAAATACTTTTGAGAAGCACAGTTAAAATGTATGGCTGTCTCCTCCTGTAGTTTATTAAGATAATCATCATCAGCACAATTTAGTTGACATCATGATACAAAGGTGAAATCCTTTTGGAGAATATTGAAGGGATTTACACACACACATACACATGCAAAACTGCTTTATATTGAATTGGACCTTTAGGCAATCTAGGCCAGTATGTCTACTCAGACTGGCAGTGGCTGTCCATGGTCTCAGGTACAGGTCTTTCACATCACCTACTATCTGGAAATGCTGGAAATGCTGGGGATTGAACCTGGGACTTCCGCATGCCAAGCAATTGGCTCTGTCAGCCACAGCCCCTCCCTCTAATTGAGTTTTAGTTCAGTTCAGTACCTTTATTGGTATAGAGAGTTTTAGTTCAAGAAAACTACCCAGAATATTGAAACAGATTTGCTCTACTGTTACATGTGCCTGTTCCAGAGTGTTCTGTAGGTGGAGTTTAGAGCAGGGGTGTCAAACATGTGTCCCAGGGGCCGGATCAGGCCCCTGGAGGGCTTTTATCAGGCCTGCAGTGGAACTGGCTGTCTTCTGCTTCTTCTTCCAGTTCTGCTGCTGCTGTATCATCATAGGTTTGCAGCTTACAGATACACACCTGAACAGCATACTCAAGACTGCAACAGCACAGACATTTTGGTGCAATAATTCAGACACTGTTAAATAAACAAAATATTGCAAGAGTGCTAATGTTTTAAGCATGTTTTTATTTGAAGTAAAAAAAAACGTTTTATGTTTGTGTCCCTTATAAAGTTTATATCTCCGCTACCTGGCATTACATTTTATGACACACATGGCCCAGCCCAACAAGGTCTCATTTATTCCAGATCCGGCCCTCATAACAAATGAGTTCAACACCCCTGGTTTAGAGCATAGTAAAAATAATTGCTCAATTCATATATACATGCAAGGGTAGAAATTTTTAAGCATTAAATTTACTAGACACTAGAAGAAGCATATTAACTGCAGGATTTTAAGGAGAAATTATGACATGTTCCAATTATTTCACACGTCTAAGCTCTTAAATAAGTAATGTTGAATTTAGCAGAATAATTTTTGAAAGGCTCATGGACATGTCTTGCGCTTATTAATTCACCAGCTGAAAATCCTGCAGTCATGCTAAAGAAAAACTTACTTTCTGAATATAATTAGCTGCTTTCACATGGGGAAAAAAGCATCTTGATTTCTCTTTGTCACAAGGTGCCAGTCCCCATTACTTCATGAGCATCAAGGTTCGGGTCCACTGGAGAATGAAGGAGGCAGAGAACATGAAGAACCTTTGGAAGGGGCCAGACATCCCAGTGGTAATGAATAATCTTTCTAAACTGAATGGTCATTTTTGCTTAGCCTGTTTTCCACTTGTATAAAAGTCTGTATCATAAAAGACCTTAACAGTCTGATATCTTAAAACATCTTTAAAAGTAAAACATGCAGCACCTCCTAGCTTAGAAGCACAAGAGTACAATCAAAATGCCTCATTGAATCAAACTGAGGAAACAGTGATGGCTTTTTACCACAAGGCACAGACCAGTCTTGTTGCTTTTAAAATACTCTGTGGAATGATATCTGGACTTTGATTTTAAAGAATTATTTCTGTCATATGAGATCCATACAACTAAATGTAAATTTACATATTTGTAGTAATACTGAAAATATAGGTGCATCCCTAGCTAAATCATGAGATTCATAGTTAACACAAAACATTAATTCTGAATTTGTGGGAACTTGGGAACAATGCAGTGACATGAACAGGTGTTCTTAAGTACAGTTTATATCTATCAAAATTTGGAAAGATTAAAAAAAAGTCCCCCCTACAAAAATCCTTGTACTTCTCCTTTGCTTTTTCTCTTCTTATTGTGTTACTAGTATGTGTCTTTTGTGTTACTGGTATGTGTCTTTCTCAAAAAGTTGTAGGCATTCTTGCACACACCCATATTCCATCATTTTCTCCCACAGCCCTTCACTCCCTGCACATTCCAGTGCTTTCTTGCCTACACATGTACACAGTCTTTTGTGCAAGTATGAGAGTCTCTCCTAGTTTATATATTACAAAGCAGTGTGGCTGCTGTTTCATCGAGGCTTCCATGCTGTTCCAGTAATGGTCTGATTCACTAATCACATAGAACATATGTATGTTATGTCACACATCTGTAATCGCTGGCAAGCTGGCATGGTTATGCCCCATCTAATCTTTCAGTCCCATATAAATCCTGGATTTAGCATCGACTGAAGGGGAAGTGTCAGCTGTGCTTTCTTTTAATGTCTGTATTGATACAGTGCACCTCTCACTTACATTTTTTCATGTTAATTTCTCACAATGACCTTCTGTCACCCAAATATTATCTTCCTCATTTGTGTATTATAATTTATCTGTATGTATGAATGTATATATGTATGTATGTGTTAAATAATATATTATAAATGTTATATCTTTCCATTGCCTGCATGTACAAGGATCTAACTCTGTGAGGTATAACCCAAGTTGACCGTGCCAGTTGAGGGCAGAAGCTGCTGTAAACTGCTGCTTGCACCATTAACTTGCATATTGCAGCGCCTCTTCCTCTTCCTCCTCTGTTTGCTAATCCATGTTTAATACTTAAATGTTCGAGATGACTAGTGGTGAGAAGTCTGGTTGTTCAGACCTTTTGTGTGTGCCTGGTCCATTAACCTCTAAGCACGTATGTCTTTGCATTAGCTGTTCTTGGCAAAACAGACTAATACATACCCATTTATCGACTTTATTCCCTACTTTTCCCTCCCATCTTTTTCTCTCCCCATCCTGCACCTCTGTGGTCTTTGTGGGTTTTTTTTTTTGGGGGGGGTAGCAATATGGCAATGAAATGGTGACAACATGAGCATCCCAACTACTTGGGGATGCAGGGACTTGACTATGCATATGCAATTAGTTTCCTTTTGTTGGTGAATAATTTTAAAAGCTGCTCTTTTTACAAGTTCCATCACATTGTCCTGCAAACTCTGAGATGCTGCCTTTAAAGAATACCATTTATCCTCTTCCCCTCCAGTAATTGCCTTTTTTACATCTGCACACCAAGAGAGAGCTCAGAAGTAGAATAAGGAGTTGCACATTGATTTCACATAGGGTTTCTGAGAGCTACAAAAGAACCCAGACAAAGATTCCCAATGCCCCCCCATGCAGACCTAATGCAAACATCATGTGAAAACAAATCATATGACTTGCTGGGCTCCATGGAAACCAGATTCCACCTCCTCCCCCAGTCCACCCACCCCTCTTGGTAGCCGTTCTTATTCTGCTTACATTTGTTTCATGTGACTAATACTGTATATAGATGTTTACAAATTACTTCTTACTTCTCCATCAGACATCTCATATTTTAGTATATCACATAGCTTTTATTAACTTATCTTAGTGGACAACAATATGCTGTCTTATCTGGAAATTCCAAAGAATTTCTGTATGTCAAACGTGATAGCATTAAGTTGTGAGTTCTTTGTACAATGTGTTTTGTGTTTTTAGAAATTAAAACACATAATTATTTATGGCAGAAACCAAGTGGCATGCACCATCTACCAAAGTCTTGAGTTCCTATAAAGACCGGGCTTTACAGAAAGAGAACAGTGGCAAGGATTCACCAAACAAATTTTCTCATGTAAGTCTTTTTACTTAGGGTTTCCCAACATAGGAATCTTTCTCGTATGAATGTGCACACATAGACTGGAAGAATTTGCAAGAACCTGGTGATGACGAAGCCACCGACTTAATTGAAAGTATTATCACAACCTTAGCATATAGAGATGGGAAACAGAGAGACTATTCTGTTTCGAGAGGCAGGAGTTGCTAATGGAAAGAAACTTATTTCTGTACTTTTCTACTGACCACTCTTCTTCTTTTTTTGGCATTATTTTTCATGCTACCATCTTGGCGGACTTTAACAAATGGTAATTTGCACAAAATGAAGAAGTCTTCCAGTCCCTGGGCAAGGAGGCCAGTCATTTATATCTGCCCACATTACAAATGTAGATGACAGTGTCTGACAATTTTCTAAATATTATGCACAACTAATAAGCATCTCTAATTCAGAAGTGGTTTCAAGTGTTTTTTCTGGCAGTGACCTAGAAACCAGCAAATGCCCTTTATAATGCACTTGTTTTGAGGTCACTGAGTAGAGTAAAGCCTCACTAATGTAAGCATTACTCCAGTATCTGATTAGAACTTGATTTACATTGGCTTGCTTATTCCTTAGTATGTGTTTCAATTGTATTCAAGTGACATTCATGCTTTTCCATCTCTTGTCATATTGTGAGGAATAAACATCTACTTTAATTACCAGTGATTGCATATTTTATTATTTAGGCAAAATTTCACCTTTAAAGAATGCATCTAATTAGAATTTTGTTGTGATTGTTCTTGTTAATTTTGGGGGCGGCGGTGATGACCTGTTGTTAAGAAACAATTATTTGCAGCTGAATTAAATAATGTGAGAATTGAAGTGTGAGAATTGGAAAATAGAGCCTGTTGTTGCACTAATATTAATTTTGTGGTAAATTGATGTAGGAATTAAGCCAAGCCATATTCTCCTTCTTTC